GGAGAAGCTGACTGCAATGACGGTGAAGACAACAAATCCCATCTCATATTGTACGTTTAAATAACCCAAAACTATTCCTCTGGACTTTAAATTCTGCTTTAATAAAAACAAAAAGGGAAACTGAAGGTTAGGAGGTCAGTGGTCATTAAAGGTAAAGATAAGGCCCAGACCCTAATGAGGGTTCTCTGTCCTCATATCATCCAGGACCACTGACAAACTCACTGATAGTGTGATTTAGGGGAGTAGTTAGAGGTTAAGACAGGGCATGGGAGAGACCTGGTCTCTGGTTTCAAAGGGAGATAGATGAGAGATCCTGGTGGAGTATGTATGGATCATTATTGCGTGGGTTTAAAAGATATTAGCAGAAACATTTCCTCAGATGCTGCAGCTGATTAAGATCTGTGTAGCCAGTACTCCACACACACACACACACCTGGTTTGAGTCTGTCCTTTAGGTATGGCACCAGGTTGTACTCCTTGAGAACCAGCGCCCAGTCCAGGTCGGTGATGGTCAGATTGGCCAGCGTGCCCAAACACTCGATCACAAACTCCTCAGCCTCCTCTTCACTGATCTGAGCTGCCAGGTCACCAACATGGTTCTACCGGCACACACACGCACAGAAACATAAATATAATAAATACAAACCCAAAAAACATCATTCAGCTAACAACTGCAGATTTAGAGGCACAAGGAAGACCCGTATTGACTTTAATAGACCATGTACGGACCAGGAAGAGGCTCTTGGTGGGTCCGTTGTGTTGAGAAAGGTTTCTGATCATCTTCATCACCAAAACATCCTTCAGCTTTACAGCGCGCTTCATCAGCATCTTCAGACCGTTACCTAGGGCAACAGGGAGAAAGGACGTAAGGAGGAACAGCTCATTTTAGACTTTAACAACGTCTCTGTCCATCATAGATTGTGTTGATCCTGTGTTTGGGGTTCATACCCTGACAGATGACCTGAGCATTGCTCTTGTTGGCAGCCAGGTTGATGCAGAGTGAGATGAGCTCAACATCCATCTTCTCCTCCCCAGAGTCGAACACCATCTTCATCAGCTGTCAAACACAGGTTGCAAACGTCAGTTAATCACTCAGATACAACCAACCAAAATACACATAATGAGTAGCCTAAATACTGACAGCCAAAGCGCTCTCAGAGTGGAGGGAACTTATGTTTATGTAAATGTGCTGGAAGTTAAAACTTAAAGAGTGACAATTAGAGCATCTTGGTCAACCACATCTGCTCTTTTCTGAAGGGAGTTAAAAAGAGAGCATCCCTGCAATCTCCTCCTCTCACATTAAAGCCAGCAGCCATCGAGGGATTGAACCCCCGGAGAGTGAAGGAGGGGGAGAGAGGGAGGAAAAGAATTTAGAAAATGATAAAATAGAGCAAGTGTGTGAGTTATAAAGTGAAAGACAGAGATAAAGGGAAGGCAAGCGTCATTCCCTAACCTCATAAACACCCATTCCCACCTCCTCCTCCACCCTCTCTCTGTCCGTCTCTCCTGCACTGATTTAACATTAAACAGGAAAAGCTTTGAGCTGGGGGGGAGGCAGAGGTGCGCTGCTTCCCTGTGAGGAGTCAGGAATCAGAGGGAGAGAAAGGCTGGGCCGGGCCTGGGTTAGGTATCACATACCAGGGGCCCCGGACCCCAAATCAGCCCCGTCTAGACTCTCTGGCACCTGCCTCTGCTTATTTACCACAGACAGCCACCGGAGGCCCCGTCAGGGCCGCTGCAGCGCCACACTGCAGTCCGACCAACGCAGCCCCCCCAACCTCCACCTCCACCTCCACCTCCACCTCCACCTCCACCTCCTCCCTCACTACTGACATCCCCGCTCTGGAAACCCCACATCCAGCACCAAACGGTGACCCCATTAAAAGCAGGAGAAGGGGAAAGGGGCAGGTCAGTCACCAGCCTGGGAAAGTGATAAAAGAGAGAGAGGTCTTAAAAGAACAGAATAGGTGAGAGAGGATAAAAGGTGGGAAAGGGGCTGAAGCAGTCTGTTAATTACAGCTGGAGTGTGGGACTTTTACATATAAATGAACTTCCGTTACATTCTTTCCCGAAGCAGTTCACACAGTGCTGATTAAGCCCATCACCAAACTCGCTGGATTTCCCAGAGCTTTTAAATATGGCGACGTCAACCAGCAATGATTGGTTTGCCAGAGCTGACGGGGGGGCAGCGACCATAGTGACGAAGTAAACCTAACAAGTGTCCAAAAAGACTGTCTGAGTCTCCAGATAATAAAGGAACTCTGTTATCCAGTCACCATCGAAGGCTTTAACTGCAAGTGTTTTTATAAACAGGACAGATGGAGGGACATTAGATATTATATATTATAATACCTGGAATTATTTATAAAGCACCCCAAAGATAAACTATTCATGCTCTGTTTGCACTTGCACATTTCTTTTCTTACATCATTTATTATTTAATATCTTGTATTTTCTTAACTATTTTAAATTGTGACTCGACATCACTGTAAACGAGGGCCCTCGATGGTTTTTAAGTTTAAATAAAAGCTGTACAAATGGAGTTTTTAATGTCACATTTTCTTTTAATTTTTCTGTACATTATGGTCTGATATTGCCCGTTACCGAGCTGCAACGATTAGTTGATAGACAGAAAAATAATCCCAGATTTGAATAATTGATCGTTTTTTGTTTTTTTATGCAAAAGCTTCAGCTTTCAAATGTTCCTGCTTTTCTCTGACATCTAAAAGACATCAGCTTGAAATTTGAGAAACCGGGATGGACATTTTTTAAACTATTAAACAATTAATCCAGAAATAATCAACAGATTAATCTATTGAGCACTTGTCTGTAATTAAGGTGAAGAATACTGAATCCTTTTTATTCTAATTTATTGATTTGTTTTTCCTAACAGTTCGATTTTGTCTAAAAAATGATGAGAATCAGCCTTACACCAAACATGTTTAATATGTGTATAATAGTAAACTCCTTCTTATGTTGTTAAAATCTTCAAACTACATATAAATATTACTGAGGACATTGACATACAGCCTCAATCAGAGTGGCAGCAGAAAGTTGTCGACACTAAAACAGCATTTTCATACTTTTCCACCTTTTTCCGTCACAGTTTTTGTATGAACGATGAGCTTAGTGTGGACAAAAAGCGAGAGATGGATGGATAACATTAGAGTCAAGAGAGGGTAGTGAGGAGGAGAGTGAGCTGGCCTCGGGGTGGGGTCGAAGGTCACTTCCTGGTCATGCTGCTAGCCGGCATCCCTTTTACCTTGGGGGACGCCGCGGTTCAGATCTGCTGCTGACGCGACCTTCTGAACAAACAGCCGGCTCTCGCGGCCACATCTGGCCAGCATTTACACCCAATCTCGACAAACAAACACGACGCACATTTAGCTAATCGCTGACGATGAGAGCAGCGACTGACCGGGTCAACTCAATCAGGAGGGAGTGCAGCTCAACAAAAATGTTATGATCGAAAGTTGAAAGAAAATCAGCCTGAGGGGGGGTTTGAGCTTCAGCTGTAAACTTCATTTTCATCAACACAACTTCATTTGGGTTTGGTGTCTGATGTTTAGTGAAGGCAATCGGGAGGAGAATGTGTGAAGAAGACACAGAAAAGGATGAAATGGCGTTGGGATCTTTTCAGGACTCGGTGGAAAGAAGGAGAGGAGAGAAAAAACAAAGTTGTCATCACAGTGAGAGCAAAGACTGAGCAGCAGTCCTCTGGTGGGTTTTGGTTCCAGATGTGGCGTGCGTCCCTCCCTCTCGCTCTGTTTCTCATGCATTAATTCCCGGGTGCCGTTAGCGGACGATGCTAATGTGTCCGTCTTGGTCTGCTGGCGGCGTACATTAGCCAGTCTTACCTGCGGTATGCAGTCTGTGTCGGCAAACATGGACTTGAATCTGTCGTCCACGCTGATGTGGTACAGAATGCACATGCTGAGCTGTCTCTGGCCCTCGTCAGCTGCAACATAAACAGAGGAGAAAGAGGAAAGTCAATGGATGAATGAATGGTTGTGCCGTAACGCTCTGCGGGATGCCAATGACCACATCTAGGAGGAGCTGTGTGTTTTTTGAAAATATTAATGGGCTGAATGGCCTTTTTAACAGCGATTCCTGTCAGAGGTCAAATGGCATTCGGTGCAGAATCAGCACCGGGCCGGCTGCAGTTTCTCAGTTTGTCATCTCGCAGGCAGCTAACCAGAACAAAAACAACATTTAAAAGGATAAATGTGGAACTGCAGCAGGCTGAAAAAGGTTTTTAATGCTGCTTAAAGGGACCAGTTATCACAAATTGTAAAAAGGAAATATATTTGTTATTTAGATATCCAGATTTCTGCCTCCTCTCAAAAACAATGGAAGTCAATGAAACCTGTGCTAGTCAAAATCATTCAGTGATGCTTCTTTATTTTCCTTATTGTCAACCAAATCGATTCATGAGTGACAGCATAACAAAAGAGGCGAGGACGGTATGTTGCTGCGAGAACTCTGACTCACACACTTTATACACCATATTCACGTGACTGAAACTGACGCCAGAGACACTTTAGCAAGCTGTTTTAGAACTCACTCGCCACCAATTGCATTACAGGAACAATAAAGTAAACCAGATTGTGCAGGCACACTAGGAGCTTTGACGTTTCCCCACTTCCACATGGCCACTGTGAACGCAGTGTAATATCCACACTTGTGAACTGCACAATCTGGCCTCTTTTATTGCAGCTTCAAGTACCAAAGCTCGTGAGAAAGTTCTAACAAGTATTGTGTGTGTGTATCACAGGCCGATATTTCTTTTTCCACTGTGCCACAGAGCTTCATTATTATCCAAAACCTTTTAAAAACACATCAGTGATCCACACTGTAGTTTATCTGGACTCCTGCATACACTGTCCTACTAATACTAATAATAATACACTAGACCATCACACATTGAATTATCCACCGCTGAAAATAGTCCACAACAAATGTTGAGGGTTTTATGCTTTAGGAAAGTATTTTTTAATAATGAAACTACAGCTCTGATTTCCAGTAGGAACCAATGGGCTACAGACTGGGTGGAGCAGTGAGAATGAAAGAGAAAGATTTGTTGACAATAAGAAACATACAGAATAATTTCGGCTGTATCATAAAAAAAAAGAACTTCTCGTCTCCGTCCAGAAACAGTGAGCCAGTTGCTCGTGAGGATAATGCACAGACCTCACTGAGAACAGTTTACACAGGGACTATTTCTTCGGTAGAAAGCAGTTCCAATGAAAACTGTGGACAGTGAGGTCTGTGGACTATCCAGAGTAACCGGGACACTGTTTGTGGAAAGACACATTCATGTTGAATTATTTTAAAACCGCATTAATATATACGTATATATTTTTTCTACTTGGGGGCAGTGGAACAAGTTGTTATGTTAGTGTTAGCACAGTAGTCTATTTACAAAGCTGTTATCGTCCCATTGGAGTCAGGTTTGTGTCCACCTGATGAATGAAAGTCCAATATTCACTCCTCGCTCCACTTTCTTCTCTAACTGGGTCTGTCTGCAGGTAGCTGGTGTGATGAAAACACTGAGACTGACCAGACACTAGCCATGTTTCCGTCCGAATCAAGCAGCAACCCTCGAACTGCAGTTCTTCTAAGGGCCACTAGAGGCTGGCTCCAGCAGTGAGTCAGTCTCCATAATGCCCCATTTCCAACTTTACATCAGAAATAAACATGTTTACAGCCTGGTTCAAAAAATGTTGTTGGTCTCTGTAGCTAATTTCACCGATCAGGACAACTGTACATTGTTATTGGATTTTTATATAACTCACCTATTTAAATTACATTAAGGCTTAAAGTTATTCACAATTAAGGTTGGCAGCTTTGAGTGACAGTTCGGGTGCTAGGCTTGATTCAGCCCTGGAAATTTTTTATTTTTTTTTTAAAGTCTATGGTCCAAATATACTGCAAATTTTAACCAAATATCAACAAAATCAGTAAAAGTAAATTCAAATGAAAGTTTGTTTCCCTCCACTACCGTATAAGGAGATAAGTGCTAGTCGAAGCTCAAACGGTGAAAACCAAAGCAGAAAACAGGATGTAAATATTATATTTTTTGTTAGTTTCATGTATTAATGTGTTTTTGCTAAACTGATTAAGTTTTTGTTTTTTTCTGTTTCCATCAAACTTTTCTGATGTGATAATTAAAAATTTGCCTGAAATACGTTGATGGAAACACAGCTAATAAACGTGATGTAAAACTAAAACTAGGAGCTAAAAGAGGCTGCCTTTTTCAAAGTGCTTCAGCTGTTGGTTTTATTGTAATTTGGGTAAACTGACTCTTTAATATCCGTCTAATAAACCGAGTACATTCTCCGTCACTGACAGTTCTGAGGGGCTTATCAAACCTCTGCAGCAGCATGAGGGAGATAAAGACAGAATGGATTGAGTGTTAGACTGTCAGCGAGCCCGGGACCTTTATGAGTTTGACCTCTGACCAGAGCTGGGGGGCTGGAGGCCTGGAGGAGGAGCCAGCCGGAGAGAATTAACAGAGTTCAGACCAGAGTTTGACCCGGGAACTTTTCATTAAGAGAAGTGTTAAGAGAGAGGCTCTTCACTGGACCAGAACCACCGACAGACCTCCTGTAACGCCCCACCGGCCTCCAAAAGCCCCAACCAGGTCCAGTTAAAACTGGTCCCAGCCGTGTTCGGTCACTGGCCGTACAGGGAGCCTTATCGGTGAGTATTAGATCCAGATGTGCTCAGTGAACCCCTGGAATCACAGGAGGGAGAGGCGGCTTCTAGCTTTAATTGGGAAAACCAGGAGGAAGCATCAATTTTACTGCCTTTAATAAGTTAAAGCTACGCTGCTCACCGCTCCGGCCCTTCCAGCACAGCCAGCGATCGGACAGAACATGTGCTTCTCATTAGCGATCCTTTACCTCCACCGATACCTTAAAATGCACATGAAAACAACACACACACAGAGGCAATAAGCTCCTCCAGACCCGCAGAACTCCCTCACTTTGCTGGTAGGAACATGGAGGATCCTTTATGGGCGAAGAGAGAGATCCCATTAAATGTTCAAAACACTGGTCGGTTGGGGCAAGAGAGAGAGAGAGAGGAGGGGGGAGCTGTTAGGAATTAACTAGACTGTTCATGGGCAGTTAGTGGGAGAGCTAAACTCCAATTACACTGCAGCCTCATTTAAAACCGACCTAACCTTCGTAAAATTACACCAGCGCACATTAGGAGGCGTCTGGGCTCGGTTTGTGGACAGCACTGCTCCGTTGTTATTGCATTTTCTGGATAAATAAGAAAGCTGGGTTTGGTCTTCTGAGACATCACACACCACATAACAAAGTAAAATGCTCCTAAAGACACCCCCCACCCCTCCACTCACTCTCTTCATGTGTTTATGTAATGGAGTCAACAGAAGGAAAAAGCTGCTTCAAACCAGTAAAAGGTTACTTATTATTTCATCTGTGGAGTGGTTTTTTTTTTAGATAAAATAGATTAGATTTAATGTGTGGATTATAAAAAAAAAAAAAGATTTAATCTGGAATTTTTCTAACCCTAACCCTCTGGACAATGATATAAAACGGATTAAAAAAAACTAATTCTCATCTCTGAGAAGCTGAAACTAAAGAATATTTGTTATTTTTGTTTAATAAATACATTCAACAATTAATATGTGAATGTCAAAATTAAATAACTAATTGTTTCTAGCTGACACAAACTGTTCAAAAACACACTAGTGTCCAGTTAAGAGACAGAATTCCTCCAGAATGGACACAGACTGTGGACGTGGTTCTGGTTCTGTCATGTACAGACGGCGCTAACGGAGGTTAAATTTAAGACTTTTTAAAGACCATTATGAATGAAGACATATCTTACATCCATACTGGTTCCATGTCGGTTTGGTTTTGTAGCTGTTACAGCATCAATACATATTTGAGACAAAAGAAATGCAACTTCATTAATCTAATAATTTTAAAATCTGTCAAAATCCGATTTAAGACATAAATAAATAAAATTCTGATTATTGGATTTTAGACTTTTTTTTAAGACAGATGTTCTCAGAGATGGGCAGATGTTTTAGTGCCATTTTAAAAGTATGAGATGTGTTTTCATGATTATCTTGATAATATTGTGTGTTGCAATTATTTTGACCAAGATAATCTAAATTTGAGTTTAAGGCCATAACCTGTGATGGGTTGACCAGTGACCCAGTTCAAAACATGTTCAGTGTACGGTGATATAAAACAGAAAAGAAGCAGAAAATGTTGGTTGAAAAAATTACTTAAACAAGGAACTCATTTTCAAAATTGTTGATCAACTAATCAACAAACTGTTTCTGCTCTAGCTGGAAAATACCAAGTAAAAAATAAAGCTGACACTGAGGAATCTTCCACTTCCTGTTGAGTTCAGGTGGTGGTGGGATGGATCAAGCGGGAGGTGATGATGACAAGTGGAGGCTCCCTCTCCACTTCCATCTTATCATCGGGGGTCGTGACCCCGGGCCGGGTCTGGATGGAGAGAGTGGAGGCTGACAGACCACGCCCTGCCCTGCTCCCCCCCTCGCTGTAGCCTCTCTTTGGAGATAAGACCGGAGTCCTCATGCTGAGGAGTGCTTCGGTTGAGGGGAGGACAGTCGGCAGTGAAAGCGGATGATTAATGACACCTCGGCTCACACGCAGAGCGAATTACACACGCGCGCAAACACACAAATACCTGCAAACTCAACAGTGTCAAAGCTGTGAGCAGGCGTAATATTTCAGTGTTAAGTTATATTATGTATAGTGCCTTCGCTTCCTGAACGAGCAACCCCCACCCCGCCACTTCCCAAAAAACAGCCCTCCCTAAATCTCCGAAGACCTCTCTCCACCTCTCCGGCCGGCTCCTACAAAAACAACATTTGTGCAGAGGCTCTGGCATGTTATTCTAACAAATATATTATATTAATTATGCGCCGTTACCCGAGCCGCCCCCTGAGAGGCTTCAAAAGGCCCGTCAGAGATGCTTCTGACCGTGTCACAGGCCTCTCGGATGAGTCAACGCACTGATCGCACGCTCTGGAGCTTTTAGGAGGTCACTGCTCTAATGGTCACCAGAGGCGGCTCGAGCGCCGGGTGCCGTGTAAAAGCTGCACCTGCGCGTACGCCGCAGTAATAACAAATTAGAGGCTGCGCCGCCGGTAGGGATGGATGACGTGTGTCTGCTTCTGTCAGTGAAAACTTGAAGTAATGGCTCCGCTGATGCAGAGGCAAACATACAGACACAAACACGACGAGTCAGTAAACATTTCCACGGGAACAAATAAAAAGACACACAAACAGTGAGACTGATTACCGAGCAGCGAGGAGAGTTTGGGAACGAGTCCTGTCTGGACCATCTGGCTGCGCAGCAACGTGTCGAAGGAGAGGTTGAGCAGAAGGCGTAAGGTGGTGCTCAGGAGGTCCTCGTGCTCGCAGGGAACCAGCCGGGCCAGCTTCTCCGCGGCGAAGGTTTCCGCCTGCAGACAGAAACACACAGACAAATAATTGTACAACAGTCTGCTCTGTGGTCCACTGCTTTGTCTAGGGTGGTGCATTTCTTACAAAACAATGTATTCTTGTTGTTTATTCAATATTTCTGCTGTTGGCAGCCTTTGAGGAACCCACACAACCCCGAGGCCATCACGGATTAAATAACACCAGCTTGACAGACTGGGACCAGACAAGGGGTGAGGTATGAGAACAGACAGTGTCGAAAGATTTAGACGTTTTCCAGACAGGAGAAGGTTGCAGCCAAAATCTGATAAAATATATACATAAAGCTCATATAAAACCAACCCTTGCAGACCACAGTGCAGGTAGAGAAGATCCACAGTATGTTTTGAGCCAGAACTTAAAGGGTCAATGGAGGCAGCAGATCTGATCTGAACGCATGCACAATGACGTTTGAAGGAAGCGTGGGTGAAGAAAACAATTTCCTAATTCTACCAGAAACAGGAAGAGAATAATACAGGATATATTAAAGCAAAATAACTTTCACAGGAGGATCTGGTTGGAAAAGTTTGGTCAGTTTTTTCATTACACCGAGTAAATAAACCCAACAGCAGTGGAGACAGTGTGGACTCAACCACAACACAACCACTCCCATGTGCTCGGTCCACAAATTCAAATATATCGGGGAAACTGGGCGTGGTCACGTGGCCACTTATTCTGAGTGAGGATGATATGAAGCATTACACACAGGTGACAGGTGTGTTACAGATATTTTAAATGTCTTCTCAGGAGCTGAGATTGTCATTAAACACATTTAGATATTTTTAAATCACAATTCCTCCTGAACTCTCATATGGTTTACAGTTTGAATGATATCAACAATCCATTATTTATGATTATTCAGTGCAATAGACGAGTGAAAACACATCAATGATACTCTCACATATTCAAAAAAATTCCTTTTTGTTTTTGTAAAATAACTAAAAGTAGTATTAGTAGTATTAGTGATTTGATCTGAATATTTTCATAAATTCAGAGTAAAATAAATCCATTGAACTACTATAATTCATGTAGACTGAATATTTAAAGAAAGAGTTCTCATTTGAACTTTTATTCTGGTGACAGCAGCAGCTTGTTGTACCTCGTGCAAATGTTATTAATTATTCAATTTAACTGCTCTCCAAAATACAATTAGTTCAGTGCAGCGTATTTCAATATTACTCAGACAGCAGACAACCCTCGTATCTATTAACCCTAATATATCATTTTGACAAACAGGACATAATTAGGGACAACTGGTCTCCCTAGTTTAGCTCCAAGGAAGGTTTTGGGATATGAAACCCATAATAATTATACCACTGAATGATCTCTGAGGTGACATCCAGTTGTTTAAGCCTGTTGTCCAGCCTGGAGAAGGTTCACCGGACCTACAGGCAGGTGGAGGTGTTGAGCTTGTGACTCCACACACACACAGAGACAAACAGGGATCAGTGATGTGTGAGAATGTGGTTGGATCCACATGCTGTCACTGTTACCGTCAGTGTGACACACGTCAGTACCGGTCGGTCCGGAGCTGCCTGTTAACATGTCTGCTCCCCTCTCCTGTGGTCTCCCCGCAGCCAGATTATCACGGTGACGCAACCTGCACCCAGTTAAAAACGCACTCGCTGCTACTGTGTGCGAAAACCAGCTCCAGTCGCACCATCACAAAACCAGACCCCGAGCAGCATAATCAACTGCAGCCTGTGTCAATTACCACTGACGTTCCCCCTCCATTAGTGACAGCAGCAGGAAAAAAAACTTATCTGATTAGGAGAAAGTCACAACATGTTTGCTGAGTAAATAAAAGCTGCTGACACACAGTACTGTATCATTCAGCCTTTTTTCAATCAATTAAACACCCATGTCCTTAAATGGAAACCCTTTCCCCTTGTGTAAACTGATACACTCAAGTGTTGAAACCACCATTTTCCTGCTGGACACATGGTTGAGTGGGTCCAAACCCCCTGAAGGTTTCTTTAATCTGAATCAAAGATACACTGAAGGGGAAACAAGGAGATAAAACCAGTTCCTAACAGGGTCTGGCTTTGATAAAGACCCACAAACCCGAGCCAGATTGGAACCAGGTGGGGCTGGATTAGGGCGAGCCGGAGCAGCGAGGTGCCTGTACGAGCGCTGTGGGACACGTGGCCGAAAGTGGACCTTCTAAGCGTTTATTAAACTGAAATCTGATAAGTGTGGTTTCAAACTGGCTTTTCTACAGCGTAACAGAACAAATAAAGAATGATTGTTTCCTCTAAATGAGACCAATTTAGTTTAGAACAACGTTGTTAAAGAACACATTCATTAGAGATGTGAAGAGTTCTGCTGGTAGAAAACCCACGAAGATGCCACGACTTTCAAACAATGAGCTGCTCCAACAAACAGTTAATCAATAAACCAAATTAAATCCCAAAATTTGTTGATCCAAGAGTAGTTTTACTTATAACTTCACTGCAGAATTATTTTCTTGTTTTGCTAAACAAAATCTGTGATTAATGTAGTGTTTGTTATCCCACTGAGTTAGAACATGTGGGTCAGAACTGTGTAATAATCAGCTTCAGTTTAACATCCAGAATCCACAACAATCATTTCTAAAAGAGGAAAAACAAATAAAATGTAATTTTCAGGTAAACATTACGTGGTCAAAACTCTGTGGACATCGTTCCACCCGTATGTGATTGTGAAACTACAACAACATCTTCCACCATTTTCTGGAACCTGGCTTCATATTAACTCCAACTCTGGGTCTTAAAAGTGTCTTAAACCTGCATTCTTTCTAATGGCCAGCAGGGGGCACCTTCATGGGCGACAGAGCATAGTACTGAGCCTTATGACTTAATTTATGAGCTCAGTAAACAGTTTCCTGATGAGTTTATGGTTCAGATGTAACTAGCTAGCTAATGATTGATGTACACAGACAGATTGTAGATCGAATTGTACGTCAACAACAAGTTGCTCCCAGGTTTGTTTGTTTACAGGCCAATATAGGCCAACTGGAGAACCAGTGCTCTATCATGCACATGTGAACACACTGTTCGAAGCAGGTATACATCAGCGCTCTGTGTTAGGAGAAGATGTAATTATATATCTTTATAAAACCTCCAGTGACTGTCGCGCTCTCACCATGTCATTCTTGTTCTCCATGAAGATGGAGAGCTTCTTGAGGAAGGAGACCACCACCAGCAGCAGCTCCTCGTCCTCCCGGTCCAGGATCTTCACCAGCATGTGGACGATGTTTTTGTTCCTCATCTTCAGCTCCGTGTGGGTGTCTTCAGCCAGGTTCAGCAGCAGACACAGAGCAACTGCAGGCACAGATACACCAGAGACAACAACAGGAATGACTTGGATCTCTAACTCACTGATATTCCCTCGCTTCTCCTAACTGTTGCTTTTTATTTTTTGATTTACTTTTTCTTGTGCCTCTTGTTAACAAACAATTACTTTCATTATCAATTAATCTGTCAATTAGCTTTATGAGCCTAAACCAAACCTCAAAGACATTCAGTTTAAAATGATAAAGACACAGAAAAGCACCAAATCCTCATATTGGACACAAATACACTTCCCCAGTAACCGTTAAATAAAGGACTTACTTACTGTTGTTGATTCTTTGGCAATCAACATTTAACGTCAGCATTTCTGTTAAAATTCTGCCTGTTTGATATTTTATTTTCTAAAATGTGTAAATTGTTTTGTTTTGAAAAGTGCTGTATAACGAAATCTATACTTACTTATAAAGTCAAGAAAAGCCACTTTTCACACTATTTAATTGATAGTTTTTCTTACCAGTGACACCAATGTTTTCATGACTGCATCAAGTATTTCCATTATCGATCAATCTGCAGATTATTTTTTACAAATGATCAATTAATCGAAAATTTCCCAGAGCCCAAAGTGATGTCTTCAAATGTATTATTTTGTCCAACCAACAGTCAAAAAGGGTTTTTGACTCATTTAGTGTCACAAACAATTGAGAAAAGTAAAAAATGTTTGACATTTCTGCTCTCCAGTAAATCGTGATGCAGCCACACCTGGTGGACACCGCAGGTAAAATTAGTTTTTGGACAGTACAGTAGAGCAGAGTAGTGTACAGTAGAGTTCAGTAGAGTTCAGTAGAGTAGTGTACACTAGAGTTCAGTAGAGTTCAGTACCTTTGAGAAGCTGCTCCTGCTTGGTCAGAAGGCTCTGGTACTTTCTGAAAGACTTCTCGTGTTCCTTCTTCAAGTTTTGGTTCTCAGAGAATTCTTCATGTGAAATTAGTCAAGGAAAAGATGCTTTAACATGTAAACTGTCGCCAGTCTGAGTTACATGAAAAAACTTTATACTTTCCACATAAACATACTCGGTTTTATTTAGTAACAACTGTGTGTTTGACTCTCAGAAAAAGGATATAGGCCTTCTTTTTCTTCTGTAGTTCTTCTTGCCAGAGGTCGTACCTCTTCAGCTCGTGCTCAATGATATTCATACACAGGGCCCCAATCTTGAAATGTGTGACCAGGCCGTGGAACTGGGAGAAACTAGAGGAGCAAATTAAGAGGGGAGAGAGAGAGCGAGAGAGAGAAAAAGACTTCCATTTATCCAAAAGTGGATTTTCAAAATGTTTTTTGGGGGGATTTGGGATTCCAGCTGGGAGCTGTCATTAAAATGACCCAATCCGTCACCCCTGAAGTAGTTTACAAAGTAAACTGTCAAAGTCAAAACACATTCAGTCAAACAGTATGTCCTGGTCCGACTTATAATCAGTCCAACTTGAACCGTTTCACAATCCAAACAGCATAACACGGCGGTGGACGCGAGCCAAGAGTGACGATCAGTTTTCAGACATACACGTCCTCTCGCAGCCTAAATCAGCTCTGACAGACGTTTATGTATTATTCTAGTGAAGGCTAATTTTAGTGTTTCCTAACCCCCAGTTGGAGAGTGAAACTTCAGTATGAGGTACGCTGCCAAAGGTGGAGGACTACTGTAAGAAAGAGGGAGCGCGGTGAAGAGAGAGGAGAGCAACTGACTGTAAAGGGTCAGTGCTGTTCAGGCTGATTTTGACTGGGGTGGCGCAAGTGGGGCGATGACTTGACTGGCACGAAGTGAATGTGTCTCAGCTTTCCATTCATCATTTATAAACCGAGTACACAGAAATATTAAAGTAAACTAGGTGAAAATAACACATTTATAAGTGTCTGGAAAGGGGAGACTCGTGGGTATCTATACAACCCATTTTCATTCAGATATCTTGAGGTCAGAGGTCAGGGGATCTCTTCTAAAATGGCCATTCCAGTTTTTCCATCAGCAAAATTTAGTCTAACTTTGGTACCAATGGATGCGTAAGGTCATTTAGTTTCATATGATAACAATATCTTAACTCTAACTCAAAGCGGAGCCCACTATAGCCTCTGAAAGACGTGCAGAGTGGAAGAGGTTAATGGAGGGGCAACCTGGGGTGGAAAATCAGATTTCAAGGGTGGGCAGAGCAGAAGTGGAAATTCCCCCAAAACTCTCAACTGGATTCCCTAAAATCTGTGGCCACAGATTCAAAGCTATGATAAAACAAAAGCGAGGGCTCTCTGTGTGTGTTTGGACTAAAGTGTACCTGGAGAAGCAGAAGAAGACGTGGGTGATGGTTGTTGCCAGGTCCACGCTCTGCTTCCAGTCCTCCCTCAGAACTCTGGCCAGGGCTCCGAGCGCCATCTCTGACCATAGACATACAATAGAGACACATACAGACACACAGATATAGAAAAAGGTCAGACAAAAGGAGGCCACAGATAAGAAAGAGCGTCTGTGTGTGTAATTCAATCAGACTGAGCAGGGAGCGGCAGCTGGAGCTTCGGTTAAAGAATCGTGGGGGAATGCGATGAGGTTGGAGCCTCCTGGGGATTTTGAGCTATGGGTGCTTCTCAACGTAAAGACATGCGTCCCAGGGTTCGTCTCCTCTTTCCAGGCCGACCCCGGGACTCCGGGTTCACACGAACGCTCGGCTCTTATCAACGTTGGACCGGTTGATGCGGCGCGGCAGACGGAGTGAGCTGACGACGCGTTGTGACAGATACAAATGAAGCTGTGCCATCAAACCACGGCTGCAGAGGATGACGGCTCCGTGCTGTTGTGGGAGAAACAGCCCGGTCGTCACGGAAGGGAGCGGAGCCGAAGCCCGAGCTGTGTTTTCTTTAGAAGGCAAGCTGATAAAAGCCAACAGATTCTACACTGAAGCTCTACTCTGATCAGCCCTTCCTTGTCATCCAACTTCAGTTTTATTTTGAATTTTGGAAGACAGCTGATGTTTGCACTTCTGAACTTCAGCAACTGGATCCACTCTGCCAGAACAAAGATTCAGAAAATGAATACGTTCAGAATAATTGACCATGAAATTTCATTCTTGACCTTTCCAGAGCTGTCAGACACATCTCAGCTGCAGATGGACGGCCAGAAAAAGATGCTATGGCAACGGGCAGCGTATGTAGATGAAGCGGATGTTAGCTCCTTCGAACGTCCTACATTTTGAGTTTAATCTGTTATATTTTGGGCTTTGTGGAGATTTTGACGATGGCACATTCTGATGCTGCAGCTGGCAGCTCCATCAAACTAATCGGTTTTTGTTTTAATCGTTTTTTGGCTTTATTGGTGAAACACAAATGACCTATGACAGAAATAGCCTACAGTCTTTGGAAAAGGAAGCGTGGGGTTTGGATCCACCCAGACCGGTTGGTTTTCTGCCAAATATTTAGCTCTTATAGCCTAAATAAAAGTCTAAAACTGGCTAAATTTTGATTAAAATCTGGAACTATGTGACCGAAGAAAGTCAACACTATGAATCTAAGCAGATTCTGATTCAATCCCCAGACCTTGGAGCCAGAAATCACAGAGATCTTAATCGTAAAAGTAGTTTGGCAGGATCTAGAAAATGAAACCGTTAAAATATTGTTTAAATAAAAATAAAAAAACATAGCAAAGATCATTACATTATCTTGTCTCTTAGTAAAACTGTAAATCTATAATCTGTTACACTTCCTCATTAAACAGTGTATAAACTCTGGCTCTATGTTTTATATGTAGTTGAGTTGTGTTCTTACATTATCCCAAATGTTTCCAACAATGTTCAAACTCAGAGAAATCTGTCATTTTATTCAGGTAACGCTGCGTTTCACCGGTCGCCTGTCGATGGCGTCATATCCCCTTTGTGCCTGCGTCAGCGT